GAGGGATAAATTTTGAGTTTAACTTTTATTTATTATGTAAGCCAAAAATGGGATCGGACTTGTTTGGAATCGTTTGGTTACCGGTAATTAATTAATTAATTACGTTTCTTTTATTTAAATAAGCCTGCTTATTCATATCTGGATATAAAGAAGAGTCCCCCTAGTTATTTTTGTTTTCAATACTAGGTCTATAGTGATAATCTTATATTTCTATTTGCCCTAAAATACCACCAAAATCATGTGGAAAAAAAACTAGAACGTACCCTTTCCCTTTCAAACTTAGGGACAAGAAAATGTAGATCCAGGTCTTCTAATACTGTTTTTATTGATTGAGACATCTTTGTTTTCGTTTTTGTTGTTTTTTGTTTTTGTTTTGTTTTATTTTGTTATAAATTTTATCACTAAGATAATCACATGTCGAATATGCTTTGTTACTTGCGATTTTCCACTAGGCTCATTCCCACAGCCGTTGATTTTTTTCCCACTTGACCCGATGTCAAAGGTCATGAAAGCACCGAATGATAAAAAAGAACCGTATGTAATGATGAAAGGGTCGAAAGGTAAAAGCACCAAATGATAAAAGAGCCGAAGTGCGGCAAAAGCACCGAACGTAATGTAAAAGCACTGAACGTAATGTAAAAGCACCGAACGTAATGTTAAAAGCACCGAACGTAATATAATGTAAAAGCATCGAACGTAGTGTAAAAGCAACGAACGTAATGTTAAAAGGGCAGAATAGCAAATGCACCGACCGGAAGAGAGCCACCAAAGGCAGTAACGGCGTTCCGTAGCCTTCAGTGTGAGCATATATTAATTAATTATTGCGCACGTTTAAAACCGTACCAATCTTTGGGAAAAAGAAAAAAAAAAAGCAGCTGTTTTTAATGGGGGCGCTGTGTCGAAAAATCAAAAGGAGCGAGCGCCTCGTTCAAAATATCAAGTATGAATTCTTCACTTTCTCAAGACAGGGAAGGATTGTTAAAGAAGCTTGAGTATAATTTTGAGAGTATTATTGCTAAAGTACGTATCCATGTGAATACATTCGCATTATATTGTATTTGCAATCAAAATAATATTTAGAAATATAGCCTAGGGGCCTAGGCTAGGGCTAGGCTAGGCTAGATAGGCTAGGCCTAGGCCCTATATATTATATAAAGCCCGGGTCAGGAGTTGTTCAATGTCATTGTTAGGCCTAGGCTAGCTAGCTAGGCCTAAGGCCTTGGGCCTCCACTAGCTAGGCCTAAAAGGCATAGGTCTGGCCCACAGCAAAAATGCTTACCAACTGGGCAATTGAATTGAGAGAGCCTTACTCTTAGTTACTTGCCGCTGCGCCTGCGGCACCGTTTGGCTGGTTTGTGGTGGTATTTTGCCACTTTGTTTGACCAGAAAATAGTACAAATAACGAATAAGTTAATTGAAATACGCCGCAAACCAAACGTAAATAAACACATTTTTAATACGATTTTGCAATTATACAACTTCATTTATTTTTATAAAAATGTAGTACATAAAATTACATTTTTAATACGATTTTGCAATTATACAACTTCATATATTTCTTATAAAAATGTAGTACATAAAAATATCAAAATTCTAATTTTCAATTACACAATTATACATCACGAACGGCAATACGAGCAAATCAACGACTGACAAGACTGTGGGATGAATATGTACAGTAGCTGGTATCCAGGGGGTTCATTCACTGATGACATCGGCAAGCCGACTACTGTACATTCACTGAGAAACACACTACATTCACTGAGAGACGCGCTACATTCACTGAGAGACGCGCTTGGCGTTCCATAGAAATTACCGGCGGCTCAACTTGTCGGCGGCTCAACTGGTCATATCCCCCTCCCCCCCAACATGGTTTTAGGCCTTTATTACTCCCTGGTAATTGCTCTGGAGTTCTAGCTAAGGCTCTAGGCTCAGCCTAGGCCAACTGTAGATTGCAACTAGGCTTAGATAGGCCTAATAAAATGTATTGGATTTATTTTAACTTTTATGTTGGACCATAAAATAACATAAAAACCTAGGCCTAGGGATATTACAAATTACCTGTAAGATGTTAATGGTTTGAGGTTGAGAGTGCTTTTCACTAAATGGTGGAAATGGGGAAGCCTTTCACCTGCACATTCTCCCATCTTCCAAGTTTAGAGGTCTAGGGGTCAGAATGTCTGTAGGTACAGTATAAGTCTTTTAAATGTGCAGATGATACCTCAAAAACCAGCTCAATTTTGCGCGGAAAATAGGTGCGCAGATTTGTAATACTTAACTGCATAATACATTATTTATATATTAAGATCAGGCCAAACCCAATTTTCCGAAAATTCTATCACGGAAATCAGCCCTTATTTTCTTAAAATGGATTTTTTGGCCAAATTTTTGTGCGATTCCCTGTGCAGGCCTTACTTTACAGTCTTGGAGCCTGGTTGCTTCGGTCATGGTGTGAATTTCAATGGTAAACTATTGTTTTATTTTTCAGTATGATCATCCATTCCCAAATGATGATGAAATAGACCTCAATGCATTCCATGTGATAACTGACAATGGTAAGTATATTATAATAAATCATGAACTATATTATTGCAGCAGAATAAAAATGTCATCAGATCGGGGATGGGTGAAGCTGAGAAAATAGATGTAGGCATTTATAAATTTGTGGGAAAAAATAAATCTTTTCTACTTGATTTTATTTTCTAAAATGTAAGTAGCAAAGTGTTTTTTTTTTTACATTAAAATAAATCCAATTTATTGAGTTCAAGTTCTGCTTCACTAGAAAAGAAAAAAAAAAAATGGCCTTTACAGAAATAATAGGGTGGCAGTTAATTCTGTGTCCCTTTAAATTGTATGCTTTAGAATGGTTATTTTTAGATTTTGTTCCTGTCATAAAAAGGTTCTCTGATTGATCTCAAAAGAAATAATAATAATAATAATAAGGTAAGAATTTATATAGCGCCATTTAAAAAACCGAAGTAATTACCAGTGGCGCTTCATGTTATTGTTGGAATAAGTGCGTTTTGAGTGATTTTTTAAATAAAGCAATTGATGTTGATTTTTTAATGTGAAGTGGTAGTGCGTTCCAGTGTGTGGCTGCAGCAAATGAAAATGATCTGTGTCCGAAGGTCTTAGTGTTGGTGCGAGGGACAGAAATTAAATTGAGATCAGATGAACGTAGGGAACGGAAATACTGTACATACTCCAACTATTGAAATACTGTACATACTCCAAGTATCGAAATACTGTACATGTTATCGTGTTGGGATTCAGTATTTCGACATTAATTAATGTCATCATCAGGAATGATTCCTAATGATGACATAATTAATGTCAAAATATTGAGATTTCAGCATGAAGTATGTTACATCAGGAATCATTCCTGATAATGACACACCTGCAATTTTGAAATATTAAATCTCAGAACGATGGCGTGTATTTCAATACTAGGAGTATGTATTATACTTTCTTTTCTTTAACATCTTCCTTATTTTCCTCCTTTTATTTTAAACATTAATTCTTGAATTTCTATAAACATTTCATTGTAGGTAGACTGAGAAATCTACGAGCTGGTACAACATTTGGATGTACGATACTAGCATCAGATGTACAAGGTATGCCAACCCTGAACCTCTACATATTTCAGTGTGTTATTGTTCTTTTTTTATATTTAAAAAAAAATTATGCTTATATTATATTACACCATTTAATTCAAAGATATTCCAACTACTTAACATAAGCTCTGGGACCAACCTCGCAAAGGGTTTGTTTATTTCATATAAAGACTTAAAAACGGAAGTCATGTGTTCACATCTGTTCGCACTTTACAGAATTCATTGCATCTTTTGAAAAATTAAGTGGTTACCCTGATGCTCTGGATCCTTTTAACACTTGATGTTGAGAAATGATATGAATGTAAAGCTACTACATGTCTCTCCAAGTCTATATGCAATTACATCTCATAGCACTGCGAGTTAGGAGCAGTGTCGTATCTAGGGGACCCCCAACCAAGAAAATTACTCGCACCCCCTATTGAGCCCCCAAAATATCACAGTCAAGTAGTTAAAAACCACCTAAAATCACCTTATTTTGCAAATTAGCACTCCTTAACTGATCATCGAGGCCCCCTTCCCCACTTCACTTCAGCACCCCCATTTCAAGTCTTACAGATACACCACTGGTTAGGAGTTATTCTCCTTCCTTTACCCTTTACCCGTGTATTTTTATAGTAAATGTTTTAACTTGATCACTGTTTTTCGTTCAGGTAGTGATAACTTAAGCCGACAGGAGAGTACGGATTCTGCGATTGGAAGCACAAACTATTCTGACAGTGGTGATGAGGTGTGATTAAATAATTATATTTTAAGTTTAGATCTCATTTAAATCTTAAGAAACATAAAGCTATGTACTACTATTATAACTACCGTATCTATTTGAATAAATTCCCCACTTTGAATAAACGCCCCCTCAAAAAGAAGCTCTCTCCAAGGCCCCATATAAAATAAACAACTATCTCAATTTTTTCCCTCGAATAAACGCTCCCCTATTAAGTGACTGCACACAAAACTAATGGAAGCAACATCATTTTTCTAACCTGGTTGGAATCAATAAGTCTTTATGATCATACAGTAACACATTTGACAGTAATAATGTGTTGTAATTTCACATTTTCAGTGAAATTTAAGGGGCATTTATTTGAATATCCATTTTACACCCTAAAAACAAATGTCTCTCTCAAATAAATTCCTCCCTTGAATAAACACCACTAAAAAACCCTTCTTAATAAATAAATAATAATAGAGTGGTTTATTGATTAAATATTAGTCAACATGTTTTGTTTGTTTTATTGGCCTTTGACCTGTATCATGATAGCTTTGCTGCTTTTAGGACACTATTACTAAATAAACAAATGAAATAAAATTATTCTTGTTATTATAGTTTTTTTTTACTTGAAGCCCCATTCCTGGCAAATTTTCAGTTTTTTATATAGATTAAAATATATAATACAAAATTGCTAGTTTAACTGAATTTATACATTCCTACACATGTAAAAAATGTAAAATAAGACTGAAAAGCCTAGCCTTACCTCGATTTAGGTTTTGTTATCAGACATAAAAACGGCCGACATGATATTTTCCGTTGCTAGTATTGACATTTGTGAAATAATGATATTTCATTGGAATTATTTCAAATTTGTTAAATAAGTCTCAGGTATACTCGATCAACCGCAGTGTGCGAGATGCGAAGTACAAAAACTAATCTCATTAGAGAGGGCACACTTTATTGACTGTATAAAGTACACACAAAAGCAAAAGCATTCCAGCAGATGCGATCCTTTGAATTTGCCTAGTATTGAAGAATTTCGTTGAGAAAATGGTAATCTTCCATGAGAAATAGTCTTTATTTCTTTTCTTTTTTTTTTTTTATCTTTTTGCGTAAAACTAAAATTTATACAAATATTTTTCCATGCTTTATGATAATTAGAGTATATGCATGCATTTTTTCTAAAAAAAGCTTTTTTAGTGAAATTTTGCCAGGAATGGGGCTTTAATAACATTGTAAGCTACTATTAAATTATTCTGGCCTCAACTGTATATTCATTGTCTATCTTAGAAGTGTAGATATTTTTATATTTAAAAATTTGTCTTTTAATTGATTGTATTTTTCATACTTTTAGGATACTTCTGAGGGAAGTGACACAGATTCCGATGGCAGTGGACCATCACACCACTCTACACAAAGAAAGAGGTGCTGGAAGAGCAATGGAGTTGAAAGAAAGTATCCGTACACTTATAAAAAATACAAGGGAAATAACTACTATAAAAGGCATTGCACAGAAAAAAGAGAAAAAGTCTCGCTTTCTAGTTATGATCTTGACAAGCGGGTTGGCGAAGTTCCATCAATATTATCAGAGTCGATTAGATTTGTGGAGAAAGTACAATCGTTAATACTTGAAGGTTCAGAGACATCGTCGGAGGATGAATCGTCAGGGATGACTAGTGTGGATGAGGACAGTGATGTTGAAACCTTCAAAAACAGTTCTGTAAAGATACCTTTGACTTCTACCTTATGGAGAGGCAGTGGTTCTTGTGTTAAAGATATCAATAGGCTTGGAGATCCTAAGAGTGTTATGAACATGACATACAACATTGATCATAGTACCAAGGTATTTAGCTCAGTTTCTGAAAAACCAAATTTAATTTCACCAAAGCGCTCTCATTCTGAACCTCAAGATGATGAGTTTGAACAATCAACAATCAATTTGCCAAACAGTGTGACAAAATTTAACGTTGACTGTAAAAAAAGCCATCAAAGTGAAGAAAAGCTGAAGTCTACTCCAAGTAAACCTTCTGTACAACATCCAAATAATGATCAGGATTTAGCATCACTGAATGTGCCAAAAGCTGAAAGGTCAATTGACATCCCTACCACTCCTGTATATACAGGTGTGAGGCTTCAGACCCCAAGAGCTAAGCTGTACTTTAATCCAGTTTTAACTAGCCCAGCATCTCCAGGCTGTACGACTGAAGAGCTCCTCCAATTTTTGAACTCACCACTTGATGTACTTGTACAACAGAATAATGCTAGAGCTGCCTTGGGGAGTTCCTCAAGGAAGCATTTCTTTTTTTCACCTCAAAAAATACAAAAAATAAAATGCAATCAAAGAAGAAAATTACACCCTCATTATGATTCAAGGGAAGAAAAGTCAATGGAAGTAGACACTGCTATTCAAAATAAAACACCAAGTACTCCACCAAGCAGACGCGACTGTTCTTCCATAGACCAGATGGAAAAAGATAACACCTCACACCTTCTGCCTGAAAATCACCTTACCAGCAATCCTAGTTTGCTGGTTTCTCCCTTTGGACACTTGAATTTAAGATCGCCAAATGATATCAAGGGTCAAAGAAATGGGTATGAAAGAAAAGATTACAGACAGACTTTCAATCAAAATTTAATGATCAATAACTATTTTAAAAGAGATAGACTTGAAAAACAATCTGATGATGAAGTTGGCGATAATGATGATGATATTGTCCCACTTGCTGTGTCGGACGATGATGACACTTCTGAGAAACCGTCAGTCTGTGGAATTAACAGCTGTGTATCAACCCATTCGCAGGTGCAACACATGAAAATAAATAAGCAAAGTGTTCTACACATGGCCTCTAAAAATCCGCGAGAACAGAAACAATTCACAAGTAGCAAGCAGCAGTCACATGCATCACAGAAAAGTAACTTCAGGAAACATAACAAAAGAGACAACATAGCTATCAAAGTTGTTGCAAACTCTACCGAAGAAATGAATCAGGCTAGAAAAGACATAAAGGCAGATGCAAATATCCACAAGAATGATGCTTGGTGGATGAGAGATCATTTGAAAGAAAAGAAGTCTAAAACCGAATGTAGAAAACTTAATAATAACACCACACAAGAAATAGATGGAATGGATAAACATGCATGGATTGTTAACAAATACCCAGATGAGTCCAGCATTTACATGGATAACATCAGCAATATAAGTTCCTTGTCTGCTATTCCTCAAAGCAGTCCAGTACGTCGCCTGGCATCAGTTCTTAAAGAATCAACTGCTGATCACACTGTGGTACAAAAACTCTGTTCACCACATAAAAGATTAAAACAGGATAATTGTTGCGTTCAAAAGGAAGTGTCTGCCAACCGTGGCGGGGATACCAGCAACAACAACCCTTCCAATATACGTTCATTTACCTCTCCCACTGTCAAGACATCACCCCCTCCTAATATCCGGACATCCACCCCTAGGAAATCACGACCAAGTTCAGTTTCTAAACGCTATCATTTATCAAGACTGCAAGACACAAGTTCCAATTCAGAAAATGTAGGCAAAGGAATTGGAATACCTGATTCTATGGAAATCCAAAAGAGCTCCAAAGGGAACACCACATGTATTCAAACATCCAGAAAACAGGATGTCAGTAACACTACGACCAGTAAACACAATTTATCTAGTTCCTTCTGTTGTATGGGTAGTGGAATATGTAACAAACCATTCTGCTTTAACTGCTCATTTAGCTGATAGGGTATATATTGTTGTAAAGCTTTATCGACAATTATCTGCCCATATATGGGTGTGCTATGACATCCCCATATATGGGCAAATCACATGCATGAACTGAGCTTAAGATAAGAATTTATATTATATTGTCAAATATCTAAGATTTTAATCTCCTAAATTGTATAAGTTTGTAAATTTAGTATTTTAAATATTTTGATGAAATTTCTGCTAACACATTTTGAATTTTTTGTATGTATTTTAATAATAGATTATTGTGGAATTACAAAATAAAGATTGAAATGTAAAGTAGTTAGTGTTCAAGTTTCAATATTGATAAAGGGGAGGTTTGCATTAAGGCACTAATAGCAAACTGGGAATTGAAATTGTTGAGTCGGAAATTTGAAATCCGGCCAAATCGCTTCCAACAGACTGGAATCGGCAAAGCTGCTATTGGAACTATGTAGATTCTTCATAATTCACTAATGATTTCAGATTGTGTTTGTGAGATGCGTGACTGAGGATAGAATGAAATGTATTGTGTCTGGAGTATCTGAGCACTGGCGTTGGAGGGAATAGCTTTCAGGTTTTCTCATACTCTTCAAAGCTACACTGCCACCTCCCATTGGGCAACCACTTTCAGGAAGAAGTTAGGGAATCCAGACTCCCTCAGCCCAACCATGGCTGGGACTGAGGTTACAAAAGTTTGTTTATGGCACTTTTTGATGGCTGAAAACAGAACTCTCGTACTAAAATTTTGAATCTGCCTTTGATGTTTATAATCTGGAATGTGAAAATTATTCTTAAAATTTTCTCCAAGCCCGATTGGAATGAGGTGAATTTGGACCACTTGTTGGAAAATTTATGGCGCTGTTACTGATTCAAGGTGAATGTCACCAGTGGCGTAGCTAGGGGACACGGCCCCGGGGGGGGGGGAGCTGAAAAGGGAGAAAAAGTAAAAATATAAGCATTTTTTAGAAAAACAACGAAATTGATGTATGTCGTCGGGCATGAATATTTTCCAGTAAATAATAAGAATCTGAATGTAGTCTGTCTCTTATACACATCTAGATGTGTATAAGAGACAGGAGATAGGGTATGCAGTTAAAATCTAAACATTTCACTGTCCAGGCCTAGGCTAGTCCCTAGGCATAGCCAAGCTAAAAAGATCACAACAATAGCCTACCTAGTACTAGTAGGCTAGTCTAACGCAATTAAAACGGTGGTCAGTTTCATAACTTAAGAAATTACTCACCTTTAAAAACCCCTCAATTCAAACTCCAAATATGTCTTCAGCCATATGAAGTAATTTCATTAAACTTAAGCTTTAATTAAGGTATTTTTAGCTCGTAAGCATAAAGCAAAAATAGGCTAGGCCTAGAGAGGTCTTGCCACGGAAACAGCATAAGCAGGCTTGATCGACAATGTAAAGTGCACGTCAAAAGCTAGCTCAACACGGAAGTAAAGTCCAAAAAAAATCGCTCATCCTGCCATATCTCAGAGCCACGATGGGAAAAGCGAGACTATCTGCTTTGGCACTACTTAGTATTGAGCGTGATGAAGCAGACAACATTGCAAACTTTGATCATGTTATTAACTTATTTGCTGATGCGAAAGCACACAAAATTCAGTAGCGAGTTAAAACAATACAAGATAAATTTAGAGAATAAGAATACTAAGCTGTATGCGATAAACAGCCTTACAAATAAGGGTAATGGTGAAGTTGTATACAAAGTTTCGAACATCGTAATGCAGTTTCAATAGTAAGAAACAGGGGTGGCGCCAGGGGGCCCCCGCTTTTCGGAGATAGCTACGCCACTGACTACCACACACTTGAAGTGTGAAAGTACTGTAATGTATCATATTTTTTTGAATGTTCTACTTTTCACCTACTTTATCAGAGTTCAGTGACAAATGCTACCCAAGATATTCAATTTCTTCATTTTCAACCTATTTTCTATTTTATTCAGACAATTTGAATACACTTTATATACTTTTACACTATACAGACAAGTAGTTATGTAAATCAACCAACAATAACTAAATATACATATAAAGATGAAGAAATGTGTAAAATCATAAGGTATTGGTGTTTAATCATGTTATTAAGTTAAATAAAAAATACTTGAATTTACAAACACATAATTTATAAAACAACTACAGTTTTCCCCAATGGTCTGAGGAGAAATTTAAAAAAAAAAATTTCCTCAAAAGTTAAATATACAATAGCAATTCAAATATTATAAAGTTTAATAGATCCAAGGCAGTATAATTTTAAATAAAATTCAAATTACATGATACATAAAGGCGAGTGTTTTTTATACACCTTGTTAAGCGAAACTTGCCGCCCGCCAATAATTATCATTTTTAAATAATTAAATTTTATTTTTGGCCAAGTAATTTTCTTTATTTCTATTACTACGCCCTCGCTGCCTTGATATGTACATTCCTTCCTAATTATATAAATTCAAAATATTTAACCATCCCGTTACTAAACTGTTTACATTATCAAAACAAGGCATAAAAAAATAATCTCGCCAAATTAATCATCGATAATTATAATTATTTAATCTATAAACATGTTACACAGTATAAAGAATGCATAAATAATAGAAATATTGACAATAAGGGCTTTGTAAGTTTAACACTATATTGTTTGATGGGTTTATCAATGTACGAATGTGCGTTCGAGGGCCCTGGAATCCATCTCTGCTGTCAGCATTCGGCGATGCCTCTACTGATTGTTGGTCGCAGTCTGAACAGACTTTCATTAAAAATTTCTTACTTGCACTTCGTCACACTGAGGGGAGGGGGAGCAGTGTGTGACTGGCTTAACACTTAAAGGAACTAATAATATACTAGTAACAAAAAAGGCCATAAAATACATTAAAAAAGACAAAAAATATATGTACTTGAGTAAAATGATATTCCTCAAAAATGAGAGTAGGATGAAGTTAACTGGTGGGATAAATGTGGAAAGCTAAAGCTCTATATTATTTCCACCTTCTAATAATTAGAGGACAGTATTACTGTAGCTCATGTGATTAATCTGGGTAGTAGCCACTGTGAGTAATAAACTATAGAGCTCTTCGGAACTCGGTTTAATTGTATTGTTGCAGAATTCTTGTTTCAGCTTAAATGCAAGTTGCAATAGTGCATAAGATGGACTGATCGACAGACAGAATTTTGTGGCTTAGACAAACACGGGGAGATCCAGAATTTTTCAAACGTGGGGGGATGGGGATCCTCCTCTGGCCAAACACCATTTTTTTAAAACATCTCTCTAGTATACCAAACTACATATCCCCTTGCAACAAAACCTTCCTAGCTGTGAAATAGAATAGGCAAGCAGGGGCGGATCCAGAATTTTTCAAACGGGGGAACACAATTTTCAGAACAGATAAGTGAGAGGGCTATTTCAATACATAACAATGATATGCATTGAAATTTGAACGTGTCTCCACTAAGTCCCCACCCCCCCTAATGGATCCGCATCTGGCAAGAAAGATAGACAAGCCTCAGAAAGCGCAGATGATCAAACTATTGTTTTTTTTTTAAATTTAAATTAGGCCAAAAAAATGTTTGGATCAAGCTCATTTAAAAATTATTGCCAGCCAGTTGGCAACTTTTACAAATTTTACTATAGACCTAGGCATAATACTAGGATATCAAATCAATCAAAGCTTGGAAAGTGGTCTTCTTCCTTCTGGGGCACCAAAGGTCTATAATAAGGGTTTTTATAATAGACAAAAACAGAAAACACAATCAACACTAGAAAATATACAATTGTTGAAAAACCTTCATTTTAACTACTTTATGTCCTTAGTATTTTTAAATTTATTTACTTTTTTAATTACTACATCATTAATTACACAATTTCTTTAAATTAAAAGAGTGCAAACCCAAAAATTATCTAAGTGAATAAATAATAATAATACACCATTCTCCGCATATACTGTAATAAACTTTGTGATTTTTAAATAACATTAAAATACTTATAATTAAATTTCCATACAAGTTTATCATGGTCAATATATATATATATATATAAAATGCATACTGTATATATTACAACTCATTTGTTTGTGTTCACATAGAAACTTTGATACCTAGTTCCAAACAGTGGGGTATTGATGTTAGGGGGATCATAAGGTTAGGTGGAGGCAGAAAGGGGTCAGCTGACAAAAAAAGTAAACTGGCGAATTTTTAATTGCATGAGTGTCTATGTCTCTGTCTATGTGTAATTGTTTTTTCCTCAATGGGAAATCGCAACCTTTTTTGGGGGAGATAATACACCACATATGAGGCATGTCGTGGCGAAATGGTTAAGTTGTCGCACAGTCCAGTATGAGTAAATGAGCTATAAAATATGGGAGCTCAAAAAATTGCCTATAAATCCAAATTTGTTTTTCACTATAGATCAACAGTTTAATGTCTTATCATGTCCAAAAGTATTAGTTCTGGAAGTGGTCAACAAATTGTTTATTTAACGTTATTTTCATAGTTCATACTATTAAACAACGTAAGCACAAATAACTTTGAAAGGCAATTACTCAAAATCTAAGAGTGCTGTACTTTCACTTTCTAATAACTTAGGCTTGAAATGTCAAATGTGAATGAATGACCACTCATTTTAAAGAACACATACTCAGGTATCTGAAAATACCAATAACTTGAATTTCAATTTGTGCTACAACTTAGCCATTTTGCCACAACATGCCTCATATATCAGCATTCATTTATATTTTTACACTTCTTAGGCCATAATGCAGGACTGATTGGATTTTTTGTTATCAATAAAGTACTACACATGTTGATGACCGGTAGGCCAAAAATTAAAAAAAAAATATGTTAACTTGGCCAACACATTACTGTAATGGTGAGAAATCAGTTTTGGTCAATTGATAATTTTCTTTCGTTTAACCAGTGATTTTTGTTGTACTACAGGTTTAGGCCATATGGTTTAGGGGCAGCCATCACTTAGGTGAATGCACTGGTGTATCTAGGAATCTTGAAATAGGAAGTCTGATTGAAGGGGGAGGGGGGGGGAATTGAAGGTTAAGTGGGAGATCAATGATTAAGCGAGGGAGAACTAGCTCCCAAAATATAGTGATATGAGGTAAATTTTTTTGGTAGAGAAACAAGTTTTTTTAGGGGGTGTCCATCCCCCACACACCCCCTAGATAGGCCACAGGTAGAATGGGTAACGTATCAATTTAATTAATCAGATCTTGAAAAAGTCCCTTTTCAAACATCACATAAGTCTTTCAACACCATCTTTGGGTTAATCCCTTTAAAAAAAATGGACACTAGGTTTCAAGATTTTAGGTCTGTCGGGCTTGAGCAAATTTAAAGCTTAGTTTTCCTGGCCTTATACAATTTTTTTTTATTCTTTCATGATTTCTGTCTATAATAGGCCGATCTACTGTAGCTATCGGAGTCACATGACCTAAAATGAGTAAACAATCATGCACGGTGCAGCGATTCTACAGATATAGCTATGGTGACTGTGAGTTGCGTAATGCTGAATAATGTTGGTTAGAATGCCAGTAAACTATTCCAAAACGCTAGAATAAAAATGGGAATTTTTAAAAATTTGGTCCAGTCTCTACACTACAAATCTACATGTGTTGTATTAATACATTGGTCAGTTTATAGATGGGCAATACATTCAATTGTCTCTATGTCATCGTTTGCACGTGGTATACACACGCATAGTTTTTTACACACATAATATTTACATGCATGATATGTATACATATGGTGTCTACCAAGTGTACACACATATTTACAAGTGTTGTATTTACACATGTGGTATTTAAAATATCATGTGACATTTACCCGCACAGTGTATCAACATGCAGTATTTAGACATGTGATATTTACCCACACACTATATAAACACATGGTATTTACATGTGGTACTTACACACATGGTTTTAACACGTGGTATTAACACATATGTTTGGCATTTACACACACGGTACATGGTGTTTACATGTGCATTCATCTCCCTTCTGCATGATATATACCAATGCCAAGCCGAGGTGTTGATCGGATGTTACTGTATCATGTAAACGCATACAACAATATCTTTACTTTATCATTTTAACATGTGTATAAACTATAATGCATTCTCTGTTCGGATCTATTACTTTGTTTCATTTTCAATCGCATAGTTTACAGTTCCACCTGAAAAAATAAAAAAAAACAATACTACAATATTACAAATATTTTAAGAACTAATTATATATTCATAGTGATGATAACATATTTACATAATGGTAGATATTTGCATAATTGGTAAATATTTGCATAATGAGGCTTAGTCCTTATTAAACATGCACACACTAACAATAATTTACCATGAAAGGTTACATGCAAATGCCTAACATTCATCAAAGATAAGGCACTGAAAAAATGTTGAAATCAGAAGGAATATTTCAGTAATAAATGGGTGAGGGTTGAGAGGAAAGTGTAAGTTGTCTGTTCTCTATTGAACAATAGTTAGGTGCCAGTTACTGTACGTTATAATGTTATTAACCAGTTAGCAACTACACCATTTACGGTTTGGTAAAATACAAGTTTAGGTACCACAAAAGTTCAATATAATACCAGTTTAGGTATATAAACTGTTATAAACCATAATAATTATGCACCATAATAAACTAGGTACCACGTCAGTAAAAAAAAAATACTAAAGTATAAGGTACCACAATTGAATACCACACCAGTTTGGTATCGAGACAGTATGGAGCCGGTGTGGTACCACTACCGCATCAGTTAAATACTACAATGCTGGTTAGATGGCACACCATATGGGTTTAATTCAACAATAACCATTCCAGTTAAGTACCACAACAGTTAACTAACCCACCAGCTAGGTTACCATACCAAGATATGACATCAATAGATACTACCATATACCAAGTATGGTATAACCTACAATAGCTACAATAGGTTCAAAATTAGTTATCTTCATGGCTAGAATTATAAAACTTCTACTATCTACTTCTTAATAGCATATGGTAAGAATAAAATAATTATGCGACAAAAGTTAGATAAACATTTAGGATATTGATGTTATTGTTAGTGGTGATTTTACCTTCTGTAGCACAAGAGATAAATGTTTGATGGGAAATGTAAACTATAACTATAAACATAATGAAATCAATTTAGGAAATATAACATAATATGTTAGTAGTGAAGTATAAAAAAATGAACTATATTATAATAACTGGTGAACACAGACATTTCTTTGCATTTGGCTCTTATGAGTTTGAAAAAAAAAATTAATTTCTGAATTTGTGGACTCGCAACACATTTCATCCCTGCAGCAATTTTAATTCCCCTGTGTGTGCCCATGGTGTTGTCCCCTGAATAGTGATAGGCTGTAGCGTTAAAAAAGATATATTTCCATTGCATAGCAGCAAAGAAAGCGTTTACTTAAGAAGGGTGTATGAAAAAGGGTCTAAGTTGTAACAGAAAATAAAGAATGTTAGGATTTGATTACGTTAAATGTTAAAATAGTAGATGAACATAATTTATATGGACAATACAAACATCACATATCAATGAATACAGAGCCACAAACTACAGCCAATGACACACTATCAGATTTTTGTCTGTCAGACTAGAAAAGTTTGATCAAACATTATTTAATAAGTACAACAATGTCAAACATCCAACACACTTGTAAAGATACATGATTTGTTTGAAATCACAATTCTAAAGCAAGCATGCGCTATCAAAATCTGATGAAATATTGTCTTTTGCAGTCTATCAGACAAAAATCTAATAGTGTATGCCTGGATATATAACATAGAACCCATTTATCTCTGCCCACACATTCAAATTTTATGTTGCAAATGTGTATGATGATATCACAACATGCCCATATAAAGGTATGGTAATGTCACCTCACACCCATATATGGGCATAATGATGTCATACCACACCCAGATATGAGCAAATCATAGCAATTTGTAACATCAAACTTAAACAGAGATTCGGACAGTTCGTGGTGTAATAACTGAGAATATGTTCATGCGAAAAGTAAACAAAACAACAAAAATTTCACAGCCACGTGTGGAAGGAAGTTACAATTTTTGTCAGGATTTGAGATCCAATAACTATTTTGAAATCATATTTTTATTATATATCAGGTAATCTATTGCAATTTTTTTTTAAATCTGAATTTTCTTCATAATATCTAAGTTTATTAAATATATATAATTTAATCTTGATACTTCAATGAGATTGTCAAATCCTGAGAAATTAATTACATAATTATCAAGGCCAGTGGGTGTGGCTAAACTAAAAGTGGGTGGAGCTATAGTATTAGATAACTAGCCACTCAGGAAGAAGGTTATAGCATACTTGGCTGAGCTGCTTCTGTTAAAGGGGCTTTATCGGATTCGGTGATTGTACTGTAGTTGATGCTTTCCTGTATACTTGCATGCAAGTTGTTACCCTTTCCTAAACAAAAGGAAGAAAACTATCATGATAAATATTTAAAAAAAAACAAAAAAAACTACCATACTTATACAATAAACGCCTCACTTTAAATATTGAAAAAACGCCCCGTCTAGAGCCCCATTTAGAATAAACAGTTCCCTCAATAAAAAACACCCAGATGAGGCATCCTCCTAAACACAAATCTAATTAAAAATCAACATCATTCTCAACACATTCTATTAATGTTCAACTGCAGTAAAATTACATTTTTTCTAACCTGGTCGGAATCAATAAGTCTTTATGATCACGCAACAACACATTTTGACAGTAATTATGGGTTGTAGTTCCACATTTACAGTGAAATTAAGGAGAGTTTTTTTTTAGATTTTATATCCATTTTACATGTTTAAAAAATATATGCCTCCCTTGAATAAATGCCCCCCAAAAACCTTTCTCAACAATAAGTACCCCAGGGCGTTTATTCAAATAAATATAGTGTTTATTCTCCTATAAGGAAAGTCTGTTTCATAATCTCTATTAGACTAATTTTATTTTAAAAAAAGCTTTAGATAAGAATAAAAAATACAAATTTATTTTGATATTTGGCAACATAATTTTTCCTAAAAGAATCTAGACAGAAGAAAATACAAATAAAATGTTTATTGATGAATAAAGAATTGCGAGTGTATGAAGTAAACAATAATAGAGGGCGCACTCCTACCACCTAGTCATATAAAGAATGTAATATATAGAGTTTAGTATAAATAAAAATAAATTAATAAATAAATAAATTAAAAAAAAAAAAATTATATATTGTGAGTCAAAGGAGCAAATTTTAATATTTTTTTTATGGCAATAAAGTGTGCTAACAGCCAAAAAAATATTTATTTAAAATCTATTTTTAAGTTATCAAGTAAATATTATCAAGTAAAATATTTTTTGTTTTTGCCTGTTTGTGAAAGATATAAAAAGAAATTCACCCAAAGAATGTTAAGAGCTCTGTCCAGACTATCAAATTTTCTTTGACAAAAAAACTGTTGTATGCCCATATATAGGAGCATATAGAGTCATGAATGTCCTATATATGATCATGATGTACCCAAATATAGTCACGATGTGCCTATATATGGTCATGATGTGCCCATATATAGTCATGATGTGCCTATATATGGTCACGCTGTGATGCCATCATGACCATACTAGGCATGTCATATGTTTATGTCATATAAAATTTGGTAGTCTAGACAAGGCTTAATAAATTGAATTGCTTAATAGACGAATTCAAGAACTTTTTTGAACGTTGCCCTTTTTTGTCGAAGTCATTACTGGGGTGGCATTTCCGAAGTAGGAAGATGTCTAAATACACGAAATATACATAACTTTGATAAATTTTTGGTTTGAAGACTGACAGCATTATTCAGCTGCAAAATAAAAAGCCGGATTTCTCAATGGTACTGTGTTTATAGCTGCATTCACATTTTAAGTGTAGGGAATCCCCAGGAATGGTGTCAACAACAGAGGGTGCCATTCTTCTTGGATTTGTCTATAATAAACCCTGTCCCGATTTTCAAATTTTATTTGACATGTGAAATGCATAAATATGGTCATGATGACATCTCATCATGACTATATATAGTCACATCATGACTATATATGGGCACATCATGACTATATATGGGCACATCATGACTATATATTGGCACATCATGACTACATACTGTATGGGCACATCATGACCATATATAGACACATCATGACTAGAATATATGGGCACATCATGACTATATATGGGCATAAAACAGTTTTTTTTGTCATAGAAAATTTGACAGTGTGGACAGAGCTTCATACTTAAGTCATTAACTCCCAGTCCACTTGAAAATTAGAATGAAACAAATATTCTGAAATTCTAGTACCTCCCTCTCCATGTTTTATGACTGTTAGATTCAATATTAGGTAGTTTTCACCACACAACCTTAACCTTAACGTTAGTACCCAACATCCAACGCGATAGCTCCGCCCCTTTTTGTAAACAAATCGAAATACAAACGCGCAAACCCTAAACGAACGTACATCAAGCACGTAAAATCCTGAAGTTTACGTACTCCGCAGCGCAAGATGAATAAATGATGCCGTCATCTGTTAACGTTAAGGTTGACATCGTGTGGCGAAAACTATCTATTCCTTCATGTTTTGTTATTTTCTATATATTTTAAATATGCCAAATGAAAATTAAAACACATGCAAAAAATTCAAATTAACACAGTAATCCACTAACATTTTTGAATAGTTACATTTCTTTAGAAAAATAGACATTGTGATCCTCCGCATCACAATGAATTGTATTAATAGGTTTTCATCATTTTCTAGCAAATCAATTTTATTATTAAAACAGTTCACCCTCCATTTCGAGACCATCTTTGAAACATGGAAATTTGAAGTGGTCATGATGACATCACATCATGACCATATATAGGCACAT